TGAATTTTCCTAGAAAACCTTCCCACGGCTATAAATATAACCAACGCGACGCGCTAAGAGAGTGTCTATTATTAGTTCCCTATAATCAGTGTGCTATAAACTGTGATTTTTAGAACGCTTGTCAATTAGAAAACTTAAAATATTTGACCAAAAATATTTATAAATTTCGAACGTTACAAATCGTTTAACTTCAGTGGATTCTCTTCGGACATTAGTATTTTTACGAAAATATTACCTAACTTCAACGGTGGAAAACAGCGTGTGTGGCCAAGGGCAAAGCTAGCTAGCTTCCCAGCGGATCGTATTTACATCAACTCGTAATTTACTCGATCATCGTAAACACTTGATAAAATATCAAGGAAGTTCCAGACAAGAAAGAAAACTTTATATTGTTTGTAAGTTTGTGAAAATTTTGTTTATAAACCACTGTTTGTAGTAACTATTTGCAATAATTGTTATTCTAAATTCTACTGTTGTGTGTATATTAAAACGTATTAAAGACGAAAACGGTGTGTATCAATCTTGTTGGAAAATATCGTAAATTGACTAATATATAGGCATATATTTAAATACTAAATCCAAAGTATAATTTAACTACTAAATTTAAATTATTTAACTCGGTTTCGGACTATTTAAAATTCTAATACGCAACATTTGACACTGGATATAGCAGATATAGTGTGGATAACATACTGTTATAAAATCCTCTTTACTTTCACTCATAAGCTCTTAGAATTGTATCGGAGGGGGGATGTAATGTGAACTAATGACAGGTTAAAGAAAAAGGGGTGCACTAAAATGGCAATAACTGTGGTCAAATGACTGACAGGTAGGTGTGATAAATGAAAACGTAAATATCTGCTTGCTTTGGATTTATAAATATTTGATAAGTGCAATGATATAAATAAAATGACAAAACAGATATTGATCAGCTTTTTACGGCATCAAATTTTGTACGTTATACTATGAAACCACTTATAAGTACTGGAATTATTAAGATAATTTTGTACTGAATTATCAAATTTTTGGATTCGAAATCATTTGCAATTTTAAACTCAATTTTTAATGGAACAAACTTGCATGTGAGATTCTTAATTATAAATTCAAAGAAGGGTTAGACATGGTCTAGTAATTAAGGTGTCGGGCTGTGTATCTGAAGGTCCAAGTTCAATCCGTGACATGTCACTACGCACACTCTGGACTTTCAGTGGTAAGGGCGTTATAATTGTGACATTTAATCACAGTATTGGTTATGAGTAGCCGCATAATCAGCGAATACTGCTAAATGATTGCCTTCCCTCTTGTCAGTAGTTCTGAAAATTGGCTATTTTGAACTTTAGAGGATCTCTGACTAGTTTAATAACGCTTGGAAACGGCTTGAATGGGTAATGGAGAAAAACTTTAATATATGTTTAACATAACAGCAAATATACAACGTGTCGAAACGTTGTACATTTGCTGTTGTGATAAACTTATATTAAAGTTTTTTTTCATTACCCATTCAAGCCGTCTCCAAGCATTATTAGTCTCAAAGTGGGTTCTTCGTCATCGAATTCGACTCTGACTAGTTTGTTTAGTCTATTGTGTCGGATAAGGTACCATTCAGTTTGAAAATTCTGAAACCAGAGTAAAAGAAGGATTAATACTTTCAAATTCACATTTAAGTAAATTCTATCTCTAGTTTTCTAGTTCAAGCATAGTATTTCCGCCTGGTTCCTTTACGCCAGACACGATTCTAAGCAGAATCAGACTCATACTAATCACAAAAATTATACATAAAATATGCATAACAAAAAAAAACAATACATAGACAACCTCTACATTTCCAGATGTATAATGAATTTGTTAAAAATAATTGAACTAAACTATAGTTGAATTAGCGAAAAAAAAACTGTATGCTTAAAACATTTATTGTTATATGAATCATAAAAATTACACATTAAACCCTATGAAAATATGATTGATAATTGATAACTATATAAAGTTTAATAATGAGAGTCAAACTGTGATTAATAAGAAAATATAAATATATATGAAAATATATATAGGGCTACTTTTAAGCAATTACTTGAAATGAATCCAACATTTCTGCAATCTTGTTGTGTTCTTCTCGTTGTGCTATGTGAACTGGAAGATGTCCGTGACGATTCGCAAGGCAACAAGCTCTTGCAGATCCAGGAGAATTTAGGAGAGCCGAAGTTAATTCTTCCATCCCATAGCGAGCAGAGAAATGGAGCAAAGTTGGGAGTTCATCTTCACCTACCAGTTGATAAAGATTTTTAATTCATATCCATATAAACACCAACTGTGTGTATGCTGTGTAGAAAACAAAGTTAAGTTTTTGTTTTTTTTGTAGTTAAGCCCAAAGCTACACAATTGGTTATCTGTGCTCTGCCCACCACGGGTATCGAAACCCGGTTTCTAGCGTTGTAAGTCCCCAGAAATACCTTTGTGCTCCTGGGGGGACTCAAAGTTAAGCTAATTTCGTATTGAAAATGATAGAGCCAACTGCTTAAAACCAGATACCTATTACTTGAATAGAACGTGATAATGAAAAATAAACAGTGGAGCCGAAGATAGTCTATCTAATTATAATTTCAGGCCCGGCATGGCCAGGTGGTTAGGGCACTCGACTCGTAATCTGAGGGTCGCGGGTTCGAATCCCCGTCACAAACATGCCAACCTCCGCCTTTGCCTTGTCCCAAGTCCAGGATGAGAAAGGAGAAGGATGGGCGCGGGGCTAGCAACTCCACCCCGTAAAAACCAACCTGCTACAAGTAACTGCAACAACAACTTCCGTTGGCGAGGTGTTGTTGCAGCCCTATGCTCTACTGGGAGTTTAGAGGAATAAAAAAAATATATTTAATCTATTTATAAATCAGATTTTTAGGGTAAGGATTGATAACAGAACATTATATATTTTATTCTAATTATTAAAATAGTTATTAAAATAATTGTGTTTCTTTTAGTTTTACTTTTTCTGGTGTTTACAGGAATAAAAAAAATATATAATTTCAAAAATTAATTATATCTAAGTAAAATTTAAAAAATTAATTATTTATGTATACAGTCATGAAAAAGAGAGAAAAAATGTTTTTTGTAGATTACTGAGTTGACTGAAATTAAGCTTGTGTAATATGATAGATGAAACCGTTTGCTACATGTATTTGCAGTAAAAAACGAAATATAAAAATTACTGCACATGAGCATTAAAATGTGCTTTTTAACACTGATATTGTATTTGCTATACTTAAGCTCATTTTTGTAATCATGCACTCCAATAACCAGTGTAACTTATGTCGTAAATTTATATGACGTAAGTGCATTAAAAGTAAAAACGTTTGCTTCCGTGTAAGAAGCGGAAAACAAAGTGTCTTAGGCGTATAACAGAATTTTATCATTATTATGTATCATTATGTGACATAAGATATAAATAGAAAAAGTATCTCCATTAGGAATGCAATTGTAATGTCGTGACATTATGAGAGACGCACCGAAAACAGGTTTATTTGTTTATTTTAAAGCAAAGCCACACTGGACTATCCGTTTTTTACATTGCGGGGAATCAAACGCTGTATTTTAGCGTTCGAAGTCTATAGACATACTGCTGTCCCACTGAGAGACCTGAAAATAGGAGAAATGGTGTTCGTTTTACAGATTATTTGTTTCGTTTGAAATTTCACGCGTAGCTACACAAAGATTATATGCGCTAGCAGTCCCTAATTCAGCAGTGAAAGGCCAGAGCCCAGAGGGAAGGCAACTAGTCATCACCACCCACCGCCAACTCTTGGACTACTCTTTTACCGACGAATAGTAGAATTGACCGTCACAATATAACGCTACCAAGGCTGAAAGAGCGAGCTTGTTTGGTGGGACGGGGATTCGAACCCACGGCACGCGGATTGCGAGTCGAGAGTCCTAATCACGAGGCCATGCCAGACCTTTACAGATGGTAACTATGATGTAAGTAATTAATATTTTTCTGATTTTATAAGATTTATAATCTTTTGGGGTATGTGTTTTGAAGTTTCTACTAAAAAGTAACACACTTTTTTGTACCTTAATGTCCTACTTTGAGATATGTACTAGTCAATTAAACTAGATGTAATTATAAACTCGATAGACATTAATGAACCCCAGTTTAATCTGAGAATAATATCTGGAAGACTTCATTCCAAACACCCCCCCCCCCCCAAGTGGCAAAGCCGTATGTCTGCGGACTTATACCGCTAGAAACCGGGTTTCGATACTCGTGGTGGGCAGAGCATAGATATCCCATTGTGTAGCTTTGTACTTAATTACAAACAAACAAACAAATCGTTTTAAATAAAATACCTCTTTGCCCACAAACTTCCAGAAACTGGCTGTTCATTAGTAATCTACAATTATAAGAACGAACTACATTCTGAAGATGCATTTCAAATTTCAATAAAACACAGTTCGAAACTCTAACCCTCCTCTCATATCTTCCATTCGCGCATACAGAGAAAAGAGAAGTTTAAAATTATTAAAATAGGAAAATCAGATATTGAATTCTTGATAAAAGGAGCAATAATAATTAATAAACATCAACCAACAAAACCACACAACTCTTTAATTACAACTGTTTGAAATAAACAGTTCTACATGAAAATATTTACCTTCTTTTTATGTTACTTTATTACTTGATATGCTTCTTATTAATTAGTCTTTAATTTTTTTAATTCGTTG